AAGCAATCCTGAGAAAAAAGAACAAAGCTGGAGGCATCACAATCCCTGACTTCAAAACATACTATAAAGCTACAGTAATCCAAACAGCATGGTACTGGTACAAAAACAGGTCCACAGATCAATGGAACAGAATTGAAAGCCCAGAAACAAAACCACACATTTATGGACAGCTAATCTTCCACAAAGGAGCTGAGGGCCTACAAGGGAGAAAAGAAAGTCTCTTCAACAAATGGTGCTGGGAAAACTGGACAGCCACATGTAAAAGAATGAAAATTGACCATTCTTTTTCACCATTCACAAAAATAAACTCACAATGGATCAAAGACCTAAAGATAAGACCTGAAACCATGAGGCTTCTAGAAGGAAATATATGCAGTACACTCTTTGACATCAGTATCAAAAGGATCTTTTCGGACACCAAGTCTTCTCAGACAAGGGAAACAACAGAAAGAATAAACAAATGGGACTTCATCAGACTAAAGAGCTTCTTCAAGGCAAGGGAAAACAGGATTGAAACAAAAAAACAACCCACTAATTGGGAAAAAATATTTGCAAGTCATATATCCGACAAAGGGTTAATCTCTATACTATATAAAGAACTCATACAACTCAACAACAAAAAAATCAAACAACCCAATCAAAAAATGGGCAGGGGACATGCACAGACATTTCTCCAAAGAATATATAAGGATGGCAAATAGACACATGAAAAGATGCTCATCATCACTGATCATCAGGGAAATGCTAATCAAAACTACACTAAGATATCACCTTATACCCATTAGAATGGCAAAAATAACCAAAATAAAAAGTGACAAATGTTGGAGAGGATGTGGAGAAAAAGGAACCCTCATACACTGCTGGTGGGAATGCAAACTGGTGCAGCCACTATGGAAAACAGTATAGAGATTTCTCAAACAGTTAAAAATAGAAATACCATTTGACCCAGCCATCCCATTACTGGGTATCTATCCAAAGAACTTGAAATCAGCAATTCCAAAAGTCCCATGCACCCCTATGTCATTGCAGCATTATTCACAATAGCCAAGATGTGGAAGCAACCTAAGTGCCCATCAACTGATGATTGGATAAAGAAGATATGGTATATATATACAATGGAATACTACTCAGCCATAAAAAAGGATAAAATCATCCCATTCACAACAACATGGATGGACTTTGAGGGTATTATGTTAAGTGAAATAAGCCAGATAGAGAAAGACAATCTCTGTATGACTCCACTCGTATGTGAAAGTTAAACATGTAGACAAAGAGAACAGATTAGTGGTTACCAGGGGAAGTGGGGGTGGGGGGTGGGGGGTGGGCACAAAGGGTGAAGTGATGCACCTACAACATGACTGAAAAACAATAATGTACAACTGAAATTTCACAAGGTTGTAAACTATCATAATCTTAATAAAAACTAAAAAAAAAAAATCAAATCATTTTATTCATGACAGTTAAGACCACATGTTCCAATGTACTAATACGGACATGGAAAGAGAACTTTGAAGTCTGATAGAAAGTGATGACTTGGCTGCTCTGGCACCTTGACTGGGGGAACTGCCTCTTGTTTCCCTCTCACTAGAGGCAGCTCTGGAGTTTCCTGCCATATTGCCTTGTTCGCCTGAAAGGTTAACAGCTGCTCCTCTCCTTACACAACAGTCAAACAAACTGCACAGCAGAAAGCTGTAAATAGAGTCATTACACTGTTCATTTGGCATCTTTTTTCCATCTACCCAGGAACTTCCTGATGAGCTGGTCCTTGTAAGATGCAGAACATGGCCAAATTACAATTAGCTCAGCCAGAGAGGTTAGCTAACAGTGCCAAATAGTTTTTGGGAGTGAGTGAAAGTTGCTGCCTGCCTTCATATTAATTCATCAAACCCTTGTACACTATGTGGCAGCTATGAAAAAATTACACATACAAGGAAGGACAAAAAATCAAAATAGTGATGGGATGTTTCCTATTTAGCACCATTTTATTTATTTCAATAAAAATTACCCCCAAAATTATTTTTGTTTATTGATCAAATAAATTATTTTTCAAATCAGAGCCAAACTGGTTCACTGTGTCAAGTCCCCAATGCCTAACGTGCTACCGGTCAAAGGTGCTACAAATTCAATGGTATGTAGTTCAATTTAACAAATATATAGTATCAAGTGTTTATTAAGAAGATAAGGGAATCTGGTTTACTTCCTGGTAAGGGAATCACATCACCCATACGTCAGCTGTCATACTGTGGTGGCTACACATTATTGTGATGCTGAAAGCTATCCCACCCGTATTTCAAACACCAGTAGGGTTACCCACGGTGGACAGGTTTCAGCAGAGCTTCCAGACTAAGACAGACTAGGAAGAAGGACCTGGCCACCCACTTTGGAAAAAACTGGCCAAGAAAACCCTATGAATACAGCAGAGCATTTTCTGATAAGCACCAGAAGGTGAGAGGATAGCACAAAAGGACTGGGCAGGGTTTTGCTCTGCTGTACACAGGGTCACTTAAGAGTTGGAATCAACTCAATGGCATTAACAATACTGCACTGACCAGTGTAAACTAGAATAAGCCAAAACTTATGTTTTCCCTCCCCCTGGTTCAATATGCTATTGGACTTGACATTGTAAATAAAACCTAGTACTAAATCACAACAACAACAAAAAATAAAGAACATAAGGGCAAGATACTGTTTTGGGAGGTGAAACAAAAAGTAAAAATCCACTAGTCTATATCCTTAAGGGGGAAACAAACAGGTATACAGTCAACAAAACCCAAGAAAAATCTTAACTACTGCTATTATTATGTGGGCTAACTTAAGTGGCAAATTCAATGTTATATTAATAATAAGAAAAAGAAAACTCATGAGAGTGGTCTTCAGGTATTTAAGAAGGAAAACATGTCATTAGTTGTACTCCACGGAACAGAACTAGGATCAATGGCTAAAAATTACAAGAATATACAAGAACACTGGTGGTATATATATATATATAAATAAAAGAGCTTTCAATTTTTTTTAAATTAAAGTTCACGTTTGTAGAATTTAGGGCATAATAAATCATTGATGACTTACTAATTACAGTGATATCTAATTAAACCTCTGTATTGGAGAGAAGTTCATGAGTACCTTTCCAAGGACTTGTCTTCTCCAGAAGCCCCATAGATCAAAGGAAAGCATCTTGATACCCAGGGCCACAAATGAACAGTCCGGAGAGACTAGATGTAAGGGAGACTTGTAGTCTATGGGTGATCTGAGGATGGAATTCTATTCAAAAGGAGTGATTCATGTCGGTTGGAAATTAAATGACCCAAACAGATGCTCTCTCGTGAAGAGTTTTACATTTTAAAAGAGGAAGTAGAGGAGAAAGGAAGTACAGAGATAGAAGAGAAAGTAAAAAACTGAGCTCCGATTATGGCAAGCAGATACAGTACAAAACAACTCATGGCCATTTCTGAGGGAAGTACAGGCTGACTGGGCTTCCAGACTCCCTGCTAGGTTGCCAGAACTATGCTATACCCTGAACAATGTTCCAGTTCTCCATGAGACCCTTCTGTTCACCTACCAAGGCATGTTCCTACTATCCTGAGTGAATTTACTCATGACTGGAGAGAACCTTGAGACAATGTACAACTTTACCTGAATTCTGCACTCCTGGAAAACAGGGACTGTCAAGAAATTACCCCCCTCACCCAACGCTTTTCTGTTCCAGGAAACAGCTTACTACAAAAGAACCGCTCTTACCCATATGACTTGGATAAAACTCACAGATGACTCCTTGTAATCTATGACAAAGCCAAGACATAGACTCTCCAAATTCCTACTCTTTGGCTCATAAATGATTAGTTGATTTATCCCCATTGACTATTCTGGTTGGTCAATGCCTGTTGACTTGACTTGACCAAACTTTAGTCAAGCTTCTCTCTTTCCTCCAAGCCTCCAAACCTCACCCACCCTTGAACAATGGAAGGTGAACATCCCCTCCTTAATAACCCCTCCCAAGAATCAGCTAACTTTAGGTAAAAACATTCCCTGATCAACAGTCGGATCATGTCACACACTCATCCCATTCCCTCACAACCAATTCTTTCTAGCTTATTTACTCCTCTCTATAAAAGAAAGGCCCTTTTCTGCCTGACCTTTGAGATGCTTATAGATCTCATGATCAAAGTGATTCTTCCTATTGCAATACTCATCTTCCTCCTATTGCGATCGTCCTCCTCCCCTTACTGTAATAATCTTTTTGAATAAAGCCTCTCCTTACACAGATTTGTTTTTGTTTGACACTTTCAACCTGCAAAGAGCCTAACTTTACTAAAACACAAATCAAAATCATTAAATATCCTCTTACTACTGACCTTTATTTTTATAGAATCACAACCATTATGTTTTTCTTGATATACAGCCATGTAATAAAATATATAGGTGATACAGACAACTATAAATAACACTGTTATTTTCCCAATGTTCAAACACAAAAATTACTTAAATAATTAACTACTAAAATAATTAAAATAGTTCATAATGAACACGAAAAGTTGAAACCAAACAACCGAGGCTTGGAAATCACATAAATAATTTCTTTATATTTTACTTTTGTCTGCTGTAGTTCAATCATCTCTTTACAACCTACTCAAAAAAAGCAAAAAAGCTTGATGAATTTATTTTTAGGTTGGCCAATTATTAACTCAAGTATGAAATTAACAATAATATAGCTGCTAAAGTTCCTTCTGAAGAACTTTTTTGCAACAATCTGTCACTTCTCCAGTGATCCAGTATTTTAGTCTCAACTTAGCAAGGATACCATGTAGGATTAGCACATTAATTGCAACACATACATAAAATAAATCCTCAATGTTTTTAATCAAAAAGGGAAATATATAAGACATTTCTATACCAAGAAGGATATCTTTTTCTAAAATACTTATATTCCTGTCTATGAAAAAATAGTTTTAAATAATAAATACTCATATAACAAATACATCACAAAAAAATCAAGTACTCACCCGCATTGACTATAGCATCTACCTCTAGCAATGTGATGTCACCTCTATAGAGAGAAACTTTTTCACTCAAACTTTTCTTGACCTGTGATGTTTCCTGAGTATCTTCTTCTGTAATAAAAAAGGAATACACATTAATAGTAATATCCTTAATTAATTTAATAAAGACAATTTTGACACAAGAACCAATATGGTTCACACTCTGATATATTAGATAAGCAGAAATAAATATGTAAGTATCAGGGATGTGGCTTATTCTCTATTTACTGTGTATTCCTCAATACAAATGCAGTATCACATATATAACAGATATTCAATAAATTTAGATATGTTATATTGGTCAACAAAAAATTCAATGTTGTTTATTATTATTATGAAAATATCAATTTTAAAGTAAAATTATGTGTCACTAGTTTCACAAGAAGATAAGAAAACAATGCACAACTACGAAGACAAAATAACTTTTCAGTGAACAAGCTTATTTCTATTTTATTCCAGTTACCTAAAAGGCATCCTTGAAAAAAATATTTACTCAGAACAAAAAAATTTAGGTTCGGCTCTTTGCTACCTCTAAGTAACAAGGTGTCCCTCAGAATGGGATGAATCAAGAATATTTGAATGTGTGACACTGTTCCTTTCATATCAAATTGTACCAACCTTTCACTCAAGAGGGAGTTGTTAGGTAAAAAAGAAATAGCTCTGTCCTGCACACAACAGCGAGTAAGCTGGTATATTTAAAAGAAGCCAAAACACTACATTCTAAAACCTAACATATTTTTAAATGTTTTAGAGCAATACTATAATTTGAATGTTCATTTATTTTTAACAAATAGTAATATTAAAACATATTAAACAAAGCTGTGTGAAATCAATGTTTAAAAATACATTAAATTGCTATGCATAAAAAGCTTTTTAATATATCTCTAGAAAACCTGATTTATATACTCAAACTTCTTAAAGTGTTTATGATCTGTGCAAATCTTTCAAGGAGGAAGATAATGCTATTAATTCACTATGACATTCTCAAATGAACATGCAATTTTGAGGTATCTGGGGAATTAAAGGTGATAGGTTACAACTCACTTAAACTGTCTTTGGGCCTGAAAGGCCAAAGAAAAAATTGGCCAAGACTAAGGAAATGATCTGTGGCCATGAAAGTGATCTTTCCTCCCTCTGTCTGCCTCCAAAGCATCCCCTTCTTTGCAACCATTTCTCTCCTTAAAGGATTCTAATCAAAATACTCATTGGTGTTAGTAATAGTAATAATAATAATAATGAGGAGAATAATGTGAGAAAATAGTATGTTAAAAGAGTAAAGAAAGACTTTAGAAGGCCTCAAAATAAAAAACGCTACAGTTGACCTAACCACGTCAGGGAATCTTAGAGTACTGTTTTCCTTTTTGAGGTAATGCCTAAGACCACAGACTTTACTACCAGATTGACTCTGTTCAAATCTTCATTCTGCCAATTAACAACTGGGTGACTTTGGATAACTTATTTATTCTCTCCATGCCTCAGTTTGTAAATTACTGACTCCTTCACAGTTAACATGAGTTCATTACACTTAGAATAAAGTTTGCTCCACCATAAGCTCTAAATAAACACTACATTTTTTTACAAAGGTTTCACAAAGGTGATATATTATTTCAGCATCCATATTCAGAATACTACAATACTTAAGAAATATTTTCAAAATATATTATTTTGAATAAGGTATCAATAGATTTTTTATTATTATTATTTCCTATCAGTGAAAGAGATCGGATTTTGTTTGTGCTTTTACCATGCCTGGCCCCAATGACAAAGACTTTGAGGCAGAAGACCTTGAGTTCCACACCCGATCAGTTTCTATTCTTACTCCTTTTATCAAATTAGACAGTTCTGATTCTCAATTAAAGATGATTGGATAGCAATAATATTTGGTGGCTTTGTCAGAAAATTCTGGATATTTGGATTATTGTGAATGTAGAAATTAAAAAGACTTCTCACTGACAATGAGTTTCAGAACTCCATCAGACATTAAACTCATAAGCATATCACAAATGAAAGCAGAAAGATTAATTGTTTCAATTTGGGAGACAAAGTAAATAGATTCCTAATCCATCCTCTATCTGCATTTAGTTCTAAAACGCATTTCTTCATTTTCTCATGAAGCACTATGTATGTAATACTGCATTTAGTTGTGACTTTTAAATATATTTGACAATAAATCACGTATTTCTTTCTTCAAAAGTAAAGAAATTGGGGGCCGGCCATGTGGTGCAGTGGTGAAGTTCATGTACTCTGCTTTGGCGGCCCAGGCTTTGCAGGTTTGGATCCCAGGCATGGACCTACACACTGCACATCAGACCATGCTGAGGTGGCATCCCACATACAAAATAGAGGAAGACTGGCACAGATGTTAGCTTAGTGACAATCTTCCTCAAGCAAAAAGAGGATGATTGGCAATAGATGTTAGCTCAGGGCCAGTCTTCCTCGCCAAAAAAAATAAATAAAAGTAAAGAAATTGTTAAAGAATGGTATTGGAAACTATCAAAGTTTAAACCATTTAGGGGCTGAGCCTGTGGCCGAGTGAAGTTCATGCACTCTGCTTCTACAGCCCAGGGTTTTCGCTGGTTCAGATCCTGATCCTGGGCGCAGACCTAGCACTGCTTATCAAGCCATGCTGAGGCAGCATCCCACATACCACAACTAGAAGGACCCACAACTAAAATATACAACTATGTACTGGGGGGCTTTGGGGAGAAGAAGAAAAAATGAAAAAAAAATAAAATAAATAATAAACCATTTATACCACTGTTCAGTTTTCTCAAAAGAAGTCCTAAACTCTCATCTGCAAATTTAAAAAATGAGATATTTTGAGCCTAAAGGTTCAAGCAATTCAACATATTGAATAGCTAGACTGTGACATGTCATTCAAGTAAGTTACTCAAAATGGTCTTATTAGAATTATCAGCATCGTAATCTCTCTCTGTCATTTTAAAAATTCAGATGAGCATCTTTTTTCCTTATAGCCAGACTTCTACTTGCTGTCCAATTTCTCACATGGTATATTAAAAATGCATAAATGTACTCAAAAGCTACAATTTGGTACTATTAATAATTATCAGTATTTACCTCAACAATAAACTAAATCAAATTACATATTTTTGACCACCAACTGTTCTCTATAAATACAACAATGTACATTACCACTAGAGGCCACTTCTTTTATTTGAATAGAAATGCACTGCCTTCCTTTTCACACAACTGTATGCCATCAGAACTAATCCCAATGTATCACTTCCCATATCTTGGGTTTTCAGTAATAAATAGGACAGAAAATTGTAAAGCATTGCTCTCTCATGGACATTCTATATGTACACAAAGCACTTATTCACATTTTGCACATCCTTGGATTTATCCAAGTGCAAGTTGAATATCTGTCAGTTTGCACATGATAGTAATTGTTTTTCCAGACTGCATACTATTGATATTGCTAAAAAAATAAAAAAACAAACACAGAGCTAGACAGTAATTAAAGGGTAAAAACAGATTTTATTCAAGAACTACTGCAATAGGGGAAAAGAGACCTCAGTATAGAACTGGGCTCACTGCCCAATACAGCACGGACAAGTGAGGATTTATAGCCAAGAAGCAGAGTGAAGATCAGTGGAAGGAATGTTTATCAGGAGCAGGGGAAGATTCTAGTTAAACAGACTTAGGATTCTTGCTGAAGGCAAGCCAAGGTGAAAGGCATCACCTGGGGCATAGGGAGGATGCAGAATTTGATCAGATATTTAGAATGATCAGATATCAAGGATGAGGAATTCTTTCTAAACTGATTTAGAAGGATTCTTTCTAAAACTGAACTATGGAGATCTGGCAAGGATCCGGCCTAGTCAAGAAAAGTAAGGTAAGTCTATTTCTCATTTGGTTGCCTTTTGTTCATTAAGGACTAGCTGAGCTATCAGTTGACACCTGGTAGTGGAGGATATTTGCTAAAGGTGGTATGAGCAGTCAGGTATTTAATGAGGGAAATTTCTACAAATAAAAAGAAAAACAAAGATTAATGTTTGGAGCAGACTATAAACCCAGTTTCTGGGTTCAGACAGCAGACAGTTGAGAAGATTTTTAGATGTTGGACTCGAAGCATGCTTTGCAGTTTGAATGTCCTTGGTGATAGTTGAGGTCTTCCAGTGAACTTTCTGAATGGCCCATACAACAGCAGGCACAAAGGTTGCCTATACATGATCTGTTGTGGTGATTTCTTTGAAGTTTTTATCAGGTCATCCAGCTTCAGCTTGCAGGGTTTCAGGAAAACGGCAGTTTTAGCTCTCAACTGATGCCAAATCAGGAGGAGGGGGAAAAAAATGGAAACATTTTGTAGAGCTGTAGCCAGATATTGGAGGAAACTAGAAGAACTGACAGAATGTGCAAGACAACAAACAGGACTACAATTTAATAACCCACAAGGGTGCACTATAGTTTTCCAATGAGACATAAAATGTCTCTCTACCGTCACTCCACTTTTTTATTCTTGTTTACAAAATAAGTCTGGTCTTATTAGATTTGGCCTGATTATTTACATAAGTGCATCAAGAATGGTAATTCATCACTTACCTCAGACAGACTTTTAAAAGCCTCTCAAGGCTAGGAAGACAACTTAAGAACTCACCACCAGATTTAGCCTGTAATACCTATGGATTTGGGTGAATTACTCTCTTTTCAAGGTCCCCTAAATATCTTCAGATTCCTGGGCTTTCCAGGAAGTGACCTTCCTTACTATAAGGCTAGGAACTTTACAGCTAGGAACCCTGTAAACCAGCTACCAGACCAGTTTTTCCTAAAGGGCTTTGTAAAGTCAACCTTAGTTCCTTAAAACTGTCTGATAATATCTGATTCTACACGTCATTCTCAAATATGACATTCCAGTCAAAGTCTATACAACCTATTTTTCCAATTATGTCCTGTTACAAGGAAGACAGATTCTTATTAAACTTATACAAATACTTTTATTGACATGAAAATAAGAATACTCAATAGAGTCTCTGAATTCTGGAGAGATCAGGTAGGAAGAAAAGATAAATGTTTCATTTCTGTTTACGAAAGTTAATCTACTAAATTGTCAT